GCACTGACCCTCCGAGAGTGCGGCGCTCCCTCAGCACTGACCCTCCGACAGTGCGGCGCTCGCTCAGTGCTGACCCTCCAACAGTGCAGCGCTCCCTCAGCGCTAACCCTCCGACAATGCGGCGCTCCCTCAGCGCTGACCGTCCTCTAACGTTGTGCGCCCTTTGCACGGTAGTGGAGACTAAGTGTAATATTTCTTCTTAGGCCCAGGTTTAGGACTTGCACCATGGACTTTTTTCCTTCTTTTTTGTGTTACAGGATGTGGGTATCAATAGCATTTAGTGCCCATCCCTAATTGCCCTGATTGAGGGTTATTAAGAGTCTATGACGCTGTACATCTAAAGTGGTGTGTGGGCCAGACCAGGTGAGGATGGCTATTTTTATTCCAAAAGTGACCCAGGGAGCTTTTACAGCAATCCATGCTGGTTGTGATGGTCACCATCACTGACCGTCGTTTGCAAATCCTGGTTTGTAACTGAATTTCAGTTCCAGCAGCTGCTGTGGCGGGATTGGACCCCCTTGTCCCTGGGGTAATGGTCTGGGTCAGTGCAGTACTAACCCAGTGACCCACTGAGCGTCACCGACAGACTCAGCCCCAACACAACATGGAATACCAGCTGTTATAGTAGGAACTGCAGATGCTGGAGAATCCGAGACAACAAGGTGCAGAGCTGGATGAACACAGCAGGCCAAGCAGCATCATAGGAGCAAAAAGGCTGACGTTTTGGGCCTAGATCCCATCTGATGAAGGGTCTAGGCCTGAAATGTCAGCCTTTTTGCTCCTATGATGCTTCTTGGTCTGCTGTGTTCATCCAGCTCTGCGCCTTGTTGTCATGGAACACCAGTTACCTGATTCTGAGCAGAACATCAGCTGACAATACATATGACAGGTGCCTGTAAATGCAGAACTATCTGTGAACCTCTCAGCCTCCCTTTCCACCGTTTCAGTAATGACTTCACAAGGAAAACACCAAGAAATACAGTGGGATGGTCTGTTTTTTCAATGGTACTCCAATCCAATACACAGACCCATTCATTAATATGGTCTTCCTGTTTGAGTTGGAATTCCAGTTTAATTGATTTTCATGTCTTGGCAAGTACAAAATCCTTCGTGTAAGATTGCAACATCCTCTCTGGTTTTCCTAGAAGGAGAAGGAACAATGTCAATGAAAATGTAAAAGGAAGGCCACTCACCCATCACTTCTCAGCTGTGACTAATCCCTGATCCTCAGGTCCTCTATTCAAACACAATTAACCCTCTCCACTCTATTGAGCTCCATGATATTCAGCAACTCATAGCAGAGGCTGGACGTCTGAAATGTAAACAAAAAGTGCTGGAGAAACTCAGCAGGTAAGGCACCCTCTGTCGATACAGAAACAGAGTTAACAATTCAACTTCAATATAATTTTTGGTTTTTCCAGGGACGAGTCTTCCTTTACTCAAAACATTAACTCTGTTTCTCTCTCCACAGATGCAACCAGATCCATTGAGTTTCTCCAGCAGTTTCTAAAAGATATTCAGAAAATCATACAAAGGACTGGCACTAAGATGCTGTTCTTGAAATGGACACATATCACTCCCAGAATCTGTAAGGTCCAGTTTATTTCTGTCCTCATTTACAATGTGAGATTTTACAGAGGTGTTTAACTACTTTACAAGAACGTTTGTAAAGATTACTCACTTGTTATGACGACACAAATAGCAGGGGTTTAAATAATCCTTTCCATTTGTCCCACAGAGGGGAACGTAGCGTGATGGGCAGTCTGGGAGTTTTGGATAATCATCACATTTTAACTGCAAGAAATTATTCCAGAATTAACACAATAGCAACCAGCAACAAAATTTAAAACAAAACAAGCACACATTCTCCAACAGTCAGAAACTGGCTTTCTGAAGATCTTACCTCAATAGCTGCTCCTAGCTGGTCTGAAACAGAAAAAAAAATTGAAAAAGTTAGTAACACAGGGTACTGCTTCCCAAAGTTCAGTTGCAGTCATTTGCTTAACAAATAGGAAGACTTTTGGAAGTGGAGTGAGGATTGTCACTGAAGATTAAACCAGGCACAAGTAAATAAACTGTGTAACAGAGATTGATAATGTCTCAATTAACAACTAAGACAGAAACACCCCTTTAAAATCCCCCCACAATTCTCACAGCTGACATTCACAATGGGAATTGGTTTGTTTAGTGGTCCCAGAACAAAGGGGAAATTTTTGTTCATAGTGTTAGCTACAATTACCATCTCTTAAAGGTAACACAGCATCACTGTAAATGCTCAGATTTTTTTATATCACTTTGGCATGTTCCCAGTAGCAAAGACCACTTCAATAATCAGTAGGTATTTTGCCATTCAGCTCCAAGTATCAGGCCATCAGAGAGATGAACGTCACCCACCAGCCGCTATAAAAAGCAATGAGGTAGTGATGAGAAATAATTGATTCATCTTCATTGTGAGATTGCTGGAAATGAGTTTGCTGGTTTGACACTGCAAGTATTTATACCATGAGACATCCTGTTCCTGTGTGACTGTCAACAGCTATTTGATTGGAAATTGCCTGGATTGCAATGAACAAATGGCTGTAAAGTGCTGCTTCAAAGCTTTTTAAAAGTGTGGCTTGCTGAACATTAACAGCGAGCGAATAATCTAAGCTTCTCACAATACTTACCTTCCCCACCTCCGGAAACCTAGCTCTCACTGGTCACCCCCAGCCTGACCTGAAATGAGATTTGTGCTGTCTCCACAATGTAAAAATCAAAACCCTTCCACAATTCAGAATTAATCACCATAGAGACTGAGATCTGGGAGATGAGGGCATCACCAGGATGTGAAGAGGTTGTAGGTGATTTCTCCTGAGTCTGTAGATGATGAGAGGTTGTGCAGTCAATCAGAGAGATGTCACACTTGTAATACATTAGATAGCTGAACTTAACAAGACCTTGCTTTCGTCTGCACCTCTCTAACTTGGCCACACGCAGAGCAGAGCCCTCTTTCCTTATCAGTCTTCAACCTTTCGGCTCCCCAGCATTCCCTGAGGGAACTCGAGACTGTCAGGAGATGAGAAAGTCCCCAGCACAGCCCCCAGAAGCTGTTGATTTGGAGGATCAAGTTCTCAATAGTGTTACAACACAGATAGCAAGCCAAACCAAATCAGCTTAGCTATCACTGAATTCACAGCACAGTAAAATTAAACAATTCCATCACCCTCAAAATTGCTCAATTGCTCTTAAGCAGAGTTTACAAATAACAGATCTTGGACAATCACTTATATCTTAAACAAAAACATTAACAATTTAATATAACTGTAGCTGACCATAAGTGAACAACAAGGCAATCGAATTAACATGTACAATCTAAACCCAATGTTAGAGTCACAGAGTTATATAGCACAGAAACAGACCCTTCAGTCCAGGACTGATGAGGACTTCTTACTTATTTCTTATAGACTGGGTTTCTTTTTTTTAAGAACCTTCAACAAGTCAATAACTGGAGAATAACTACAGAGAGCAAAACCAATGGGAAAGTGGCTGATTGCACCCTTGTGGCACAACAGGGAACTCTCACCCTTCCCTCAGGAAGCTGGCTTGCTTGAGTTACAATGAGTCAGTCTGTTTCACTCAGCACAGATTGGAAACACTTCACCAATCTGTAATCCCAGCTCAATTACCCCGAGCAGGGGCAATAGCTAAGGAGGGTAACCTCTGCTCCTGTGGTCCAGGCTGTCTCCTTCAGCAGGTTATGAGGAAGCCTTGAGGAGAAGCTCCCAAACCACCTGTGGCACTGGAAGATGAAGAGCAAGTGGAGACTTTGGAAAATGTACCCAACGCCATCCGGAACTTTTCCCCAGACTGTGATGGTACCCCTATCTGGCAGCTGAGTTTCAGAGAGGACCCACAGATTCAAAGAAGCCACTTCTTCTCACAACATTCATCCCAGAAAAGAACACAGAAGCTTTAACAAAATGCTGTGCACAAATTGGTAGACGTTGTGTTTACAAAATGGGGTGGCACGGTGGCTCAGTGGTTAGCACTGCTGCCTCACAGTGCCAGGGAACCGGGTTCGGTTTCACCCTCGGGTGACTGTCTGTGTGGAGTTTGCACATTCTCCCTGTGTCTGCGTGAGTTTCCTCTGGGTGCTCCGATTTCCTCCCACAGTCCAAAGATGTGCAGGTTAGGGTGGATTGGCCATGCTAAATTGTCCCATAGTGTGCAGGGATGTGCAGGTTAGGTGGATTGGCCGTGCTAAATTGTCCCATAGTGTGCAGGGATGTGCAGGTTAGGTGGATTAGCCATGGGAAATGCAGGGATAGGATAGTGGGATGGCTCTGGGTGGGATGCTGTTTGGATGGTCAGCGTGGACTCAGTGGGCTGAATGGCCTGCTTCCACACAGTGGGGATTCTATGAAAATGTAGGATGTGCATTAACAACATTCATGCAGCAAAGCAGGCCATTCATTCACAATATTACACTCATTCATAAACATTCATTATGTAAGAGATTTGACAAAGAGAAATGATTGACTTTATATAAAGTTTCTAAAAGGAGAGATTCTGGATGTTTCATGCCCAGAGACAGATTACTCACACAGCTGGAAAGTATGTCAAGAATGAAGCTGCTGGGCTGGGGAGACACTGGGACTGTAACCCACTGTCTGCTCAGAGAATACGGTCTACATGAGTCCTGTCACATTCAAATGATTACAGGATTGGACAGTAAGGACGAGCAATCTCACTGGGTAGGATTAATGGCTGGGTAAAGAACTTCTCTCGAACTGAGACAGACTTAGCTCCTTGATCTCCTCAATGCTTCCCAGATGCTGTCTAGCAGCTAGACTTTACGACTGATGACATTTCTACAGGCTGTCCTGTCCCCCACAGTTAAACACTGCAAGTAATTAATCTTACCCCCTTCAGAGAAACCAGACAGTGTTCCAACTAATTGGAGCAAGAAAATGCTTACATCTGTACAGCCATTTCACTCTCCTGGGCAGAGAGGGATGCCTTACTCCTCCCCCAGTTCACACTGAAAGTGGTTCGAAGCTCCCCCATGATTCACCGCACAATGGGTTCCTGGGGGATGTGCCGTTATTGTGAATTTCAGTGTACGGAGGAAATGGATAAACAGCTGGCCAAGGTGCAGATGGAATGAGATAGTGAGTGTGTGTGTGAGTGTGAGTGAGTGTGAGTGAGTGTGTGAGTGAGCGAGTGTGTGAGTGAGTGAGTGTGAATGAGTAAGTGGGTGGGTGAATGAGCTAGACTGAGTTAATGAGTGAGAGTGAGTGATCGAGTGTGCATGAGTGAGGGTGAGTGAGTGAGTGAGGGTGAGTGAGTGAGTGAGGGTGAGTGAGTGAGTGAGAGAGTAAGTGAGTGAGTGAACGAGAGTAAGTGAGTGTGAGCGAGTGACTGAGTGCACCTGAGCGAGTGAGTGAGTGTGAGTGTGTGTGTGTGAGCGAGTGACTGAGTGTGAGTGAGTGTGTGTGAGTGAGCGAGTGACTGACTGTGAGCTAGTCAGTGAGTGTGTGAGTGAGTGTGAATGAGTAATTGGGCGGGTGGGTGAGTGAGGATGAGTGAGTGAATGAGTGTGAGTGAAAGCATGAGAGAGTGAGTGCAAATGAAAGCAAGTGAGTGAGTGAGAAAGCGAGAGTGAGGGTAAGTGAGTAAGTCAGTGAGTGAGGGAGTGACAGGGTAGCATGTGGATGTATTAATGAACCTGAGTTGGTGATTGGCCTGTTGCTAACTGTTCATGTTTAAAACTTCACTTCCTAGCACCTACTTGAATTAGCAACGCCCCATTGAAGGAAAATTTGTGCAATGCTGCAATTTAGCATCAGAACCATCAACAGCACCTTTCAAACCCATAAACATTTCCATCTGGAAGGACAAGGGCAACAGATACACGGGAACACCACCCCCTGCAAGCTCTCCTCTAAACTGGTCACCATCCTGACTTGGGAATATATCGCCGTTCCTTCAGTGTCGCTGGGTCAGAATCCTGGAATTCCCTCCCTAAGGGACACTGTGGGTCAACCCACAGCACAGGGACTGCAGCGGTTCAGGAAGGCAGCAACAGCCCCATCGCATGAACTAATAAATAAAAAGAACATTTCCCATCTCTACGATTTGGAACCAGTGAAAAGGATGGTTCCTCAGGAGAGTGAAGCAACAGACAAGATAATGGCATCAAGAGTGTCTTCACTTGCAGGGGCTGGGGAAAGATAAAGGAACAGAAGGGCAATAATGACCAGGGATTCCATATACAGGGGATTCCATACATAGTGGATTCCATAATCAGGAGATTCCATAGACACTGGATTCCACAGACAGTGGATTCCATAGACAGTGGATTCCATAGATGGGTGGTTCCATAGATGGGTGGTTACATAGACAGTGGATTACATAGGCAGGGGATTTCATGCACAGTAGATTCCATAGTCGGGAGATTCCATAGACAGTGGATTACATAGACAGCAGATTTCATACACAGTGGATCCCATAGTCAGCAGATTCCATAGACAGTGGCTTTCATGGTCAGGGGATTGCACAGACAGCAGATTCCATAGACAGTGGATCCATGGTCAGGGGATTCCATACACAATAGATTCCACAGACAGGAGATTCCACAGACAGGGGATTCCACAGCCAGGTCTTTCTGTGGCAGTAAATGTGACTTCAGGATGGTGTGTAGGTGAAAAGGCTTATGGATGTGATGGAGTTGCTGAAGGACATCTTTGTGGGGAGGGCATGGTTGAGATCAGTAACAACCACACAGCTAGGTGTGATTTCATTGGTGAAAAAGCTTTTAGAAACAATAATTCTGAAAACGAGTAACAGTCACATGGACGCATGCAAATCAAGGAGAGCTGGCATAGATTTTTTTTACAGGAAAAATATGGTTTAATTGACCGGTTGGAGATTTTGTGGAGGTAACAGAGAGGGTTGATGAAGGTAATGCTGTTGATCTGGTGGACATGGACTTTCAGAAGGTGGTTGATAGAGAGCCACACACAGGCTTTTAAGGATAATTTAGAGAGCATGGAATAAAAGTGACAATGGCAATATACAATCAAAATTAGCTGAATGATCAGAAACAGAGATAAATGGTCAATGGATACTTTTGGGCTGGGGAAGATTTGTAGTGGAGTTCCCAAGGGATCAGTTTTAGAACCCTTGCTTTTCCTGAAATATATTAATGATCTCGATGTTGGTGTGCAGGGGACAATTTCAAAGTTTGTACAAAACTTGGGAGGATTGTACGCTGTGAGGAGGTATTCAAAAGGACAAGTTGATGGATTTGGCAGAGAGGGGGCAGATGAATTTCAATTTGGAGAACTGTGAGGTGTAGGGTTAATCCTACTGACATTTCTAACCATTGTCCAGCTCCTGTCACTGTGATCTAGTGTGTTTTCTAAGCTGCTTTTATCTGTAACTGTCCAAAGTCTGGACCTCATACCAGGGCTCCAGTTACAGGGGAGACACATTGGCTCCTGCTGGTGGAAGAGGTTTTGATTTGAGGGAAGTATTGTGTGTGATTGAAAGTTGGTTGTTGCTGATTCATTGGGAACATACCTGGAGACCATTACCAGCACAATGTGTCTAACAGTCTGTGATTGGGATGGAGTAACTGGATGGTAGAAAGTGGATCCCAGAGCATGGAGTCATACAGCATGGAAACAGACCCTTTGGCCCAATCAGTCCATACTGACCAGATATCCTAAATTAATCTAGTCCCATTTGCCTGCATTTGGCCCACATCCCTCTAAACCCTTCCTATCCATATACCCATCCAGATGCCTTTTAAATGTTGTTATTGTACCAGCCTCCACCACTTCCTCTGGCAGCTCATTCCATACACACACCACCCTCTGCGTGAAAAAGTTGCCTGTTATATCCCTTTTAAATCTTTCCCCTCTCACCTTAAACCTATGCCCTCTAATTTTGGACTCCCCCACCCTGGGGAAAAGACCTTGTCTATTTACCCTATCCATGCCCCTCATGATTTTATAAACCTCTATAAGGTCACCCCTCAGCCTCTGACGCTCCAGTGAAAAAAAGTCCCAGTCTATGCATCCTTCCCCTATTAATGAAACCCTCCAGTCCTGGTAACATCTATGTGAATCTTTTTTGCACCCTCTCAAGGTTAACAACATCTTCCGTATAGCAAGGGGACCAGAATTGTATGCAGTGCTCCAAAAGTGGCTTAATGAATGTCCTGTACAGCTGCAATATGACATCCTAACTCCTGTAGTCAATGGTCTGACCAATGAAGGCAAACATACCTAATGCCTTCTTCACCACTTCTCTCCCTGCGACATCACTTTCAAAAGAACCAGGTACATGCACCCCTAGGTCTCTCGGTTTGCCATGATCTGACTGAACAGTGGAGTGGGCTGGACGGCTCGAAATACTACCCCTGCTCTTACGTTCCTATCTGACAAAAAGAAACGTCATTAACCCGTTCAAGATCCACTTTCTTTATTCAAGGCAAAGCCAGTTACAGAGAGATTTCTCTTTGCAAACGCTTGGTTTAATTATCAAGTTGCCTCCTTGCCTTATGAGTACACGGGCAAAATCCAACGTGATGGACGCGAACATCTTTTTTGTGCAGCCTAAGGAGAAACAAAAATAGCCATCAAGCCACCATTGACCCTCTCCCATCCCGACATCCAGGAATTTTACAATGTCAGCGCCATATCTGAAAACTTTGCCTAAGACCCGTCAACGGGAAATATCGGTGTTGGGTTTGTGAGGCTGGTACCAAGGCTCAAGGTGGTATTGATGGCACTAGCCATGTGCTGTTTCAGATTCCACTGGGACTGCAGTCCTACTGTCTTTAATTCTGTCTCAAGACTGGCATAAAGATTTACTCTTCAGCACAATGACAACAGGATGAACACCAAAGCCTTCTCAATGGCCCAGGGCTACAGGTTGGAGTCAGTTGCTACCATCAGCCACCAACAAACACTCCAACACTTTTTAATTATTTACCCCCAATTTCAATTCAGAATTTCAACTTCGTGGATCTCTACACCCAAAATCCCTCTCCATCTAGCCCTGTCTGCCTGTTGTTTTCTCCCTCACATGGTTATCCTTTACACATATCAACACAACTCACCTTGACCTCCCTTGCTGTGGGAGCGAGTCTCAAACTCCTCCCAATCTCTGGGTGGGGAGGACGATTCTCCCAAATTTTCCTGTTGGATTTATTCAGGACAGTCTGATAGTGATGGACCCCTGGTTCTGGTCTTCCCCACAAGGTGAAGCATCTTCTTTATGGCCACTCTATTGAAACGTCTTCACTATTATAAAGATTTTATCGCCACCAACAACCCCACTTCCCCCTCCCACTTCTCTTTAAGAACACCAGCTTGCGAATCTTTCCCACACATTATAAGGTCTGAGTTCTGGGATCTTCCTTGTGAGTTTTTATTGCACCTACACCAGTGGCCATCTTCTTTTACACAATAAACTGGGTTCACAGAAATAGAAATGTTTGGACATTTTCTGGATTAAACAGGATACCGAGGAATGAGGCCAACTGTTTAACTTGGACTGTACAGAAAGTCAAGTGACTTTGGAAAAACAGATAAGCAAAGCTTTTACGGAGATAAGAAAAATGGCTTATTGCCCTTATTTGCTGAAAAGCCTCATTGGAAGAAACTACGGGGTCTATGCTGATGGTTATCTAGCAACCCCTTTTGGTCTTGATTCCTATTAGAAAAACTTGAGGGTTTAGAAGTAAAACAAAAACCTTCAAAACTTGCAATAAAGACAAGTTTCTGCCCTGAAATTCTCTCTTGGTTGAAATATTTGGGAACTCAATAAAGTTTCTATTTCTCAGTATCTTGATTATCTTGTACAGCCTGAGAAGCTGAACCATGATCACTTTGCAAAGAGCTGAAACCAGTCAGATTTCCATTGAGCTGAAGCCAGCTCGGGAGAACTTCCGTCAACGAGAAACGCAGTGGACTATGAGAATTCATCAAAATTTATCTTTTATTTTCAGACCATCAGCTAATAAGGGTGTTTTCTTTCGCATGGCGTTTTTAATCATCATCTCTGTAGATTTGTGTTGTCTTTTGTGTTGTGTGAGTGTGTTTAGTTTGGAATAAAACAATGATATCATTCTAATTCTACAGTATAGCTTAGTTGTTAAACAGTTTAGCCAAATGTTTTTAAAAATAAGTTTTGTTTCATAATCAACGGATTGAGTTCATTAAACAAATCTGATGGAAGTCTCTATTATTCAGGATAACAGTGCCAATGGGAAGCATTTAGCCATTTCAGCAATTGAATTGATATATTTACATGAATGTTCCAACTGGTGAATTGTGCAGGTCGATTACAGAACATTCCTCTTGTCGCTTTGTAACAATTCACAGAATCCAAAACTGTTTACAGTAACTGTGTGTGTGATCTAACCGTGGTTCATTACAAGTTTAACAATTAGTTCTTAAACTTTACAACAAAAGAAATGAATTCTGACACTTTCTTTGCAATCATTACCTATTGTATTCACAAAGGATGCAAGCATTTCCGTAATCCCGTCCGTCTGTACCACAGATAAACTCAGAATCCTCATTGCAATACTCATGTGTAGGGAACTGGGAACAGTTCAGCTACAAGAGATTGAATGTATAAATTTTGTTAACAGTCAAAACAATAAAAAAAATCACGTCACCAATAAAGAAAGCTAAAATCTTGAAACTCACAAAATGCAATGCAGGCACTGGTACATCTGAAATACAGAAACACACACAATGTCAGCAATAATAAATTTACAGGAGCATGACCCCGAGATGATCTGCATATTCAGCATAAATTGGGATGAGTTGGAGTTTCTCATGGTCTGCGTTAGCCAGAGTTCTGAGACTGGAACAATCTCCCTCATCTCTCAATCCTCAACTGAAAGACAGGAGCTTGATAATCGAGGAATAGATGCCTGATTGAGGGAGCACCGCACTGTTGGAGGGTCAGTGCTGAGGGAGCGCCGCACTGTTGGAGGGTCAGTGCTGAG